ATAATTAACATGACCTTTAAATAAGCCTTGTTGTAATGTTAATTTCAAAACTTAACTTTCATTTGATCACATTAGTTTGATCACTGTAAACAAAAATGAAAATGAACATTAAAAACTGTAAAACAACATCAACAGGATAATAAATACTACACAGAAAAATCATGTGAAGGTTTTATTTATAATATTTACAGTATTTAATCATAGCAACAATTCAAACCTTATTGTAAAGTATTACTTATTAAGAAATGAAAAAAGTAAACTAAACTGCCAAAACATATGCATTTCATGCAAAATTAAGTTTTTAAAATATAACACAAATATAAAGTTCCATGTTACGTGATATCTGCCTATAAAGAAACCTGATAAATAATGAATATTTAATAAACAAAAACTGATTTTTTTTTAAGTAGCACATTTAAAAATAGAGTAAAACCAATATTCCTCTTAAAGAAAAAACGTAGTTCATTCTGACACCTGTTTCACACCACAAGTGCAAGCAGAATGTAAGCAGCACATGTTTTTTCGGAATCCATGTGAAGAGATTATAGCTTTCATACTGCCCGCAGAAGCAGTGCATCAGCAGCAGTTTGCTATCCGCTTGTTAAGTGGTGACGAATGTAATACTGTTTCCGGGTCCAAGCCGCCATTCATTTGAGTGGAAAAATCATTCGTTTATGATCACGTTTTATTCCTATCACACATTAAAGTTAATTTTATATAAAGTCATAGTGCGCTGCTCACACTCAATTAAAGTGGCAGTGCATTGATAGTGACCAAAAACATTTAAATGGCAGTTTAAAGTAGCAATTTTACCCAATAAATGCATCGAAAAGATCTTGAGATTTTAATATAGTCAATTAAATTAACTTAAATTATTGAAAACGACAACAAATATTTATTTGGGCCAAATTTGAAACAATTTTAGCATTAGTTATTCTTAGTATACACTAGTTTGATCATGTATACCTTAAATATTATAACTATACTGTGAACATATTATTATAACCATAGGCCTACATCATCCTGACAATCAAAAACAAACTGATATGACATCACAGGCGATTGTTTTCTGACTGCGTGCACCTGAAAAGACATGAATGACACTCCTCATGGAGCTTGAAAAGCAGACAGTTCAGAAAACAACATAGGAGGAAGTTGCAGCAGGCCTTGATACAGATAAAAAGTTTTAAAAAAGTGTATTTATAGATAGATAGGTCACTAGAATAGACTGAAATAGATCTGTGCAGCAGCTGCCGATGAGCTGGCTCGCTGCAGACGCAGTCAGTGTGAAAAGCAAACGCCGGCGCACTGCTTCTGCTCTCCCTGCATGCTGCACACGCACTGCTCAGGCTCTGCTTGCACTTGCGGTGTGAAACAGGCTTGAATATCTCAAGCCTCAGCAGGGTTTCAATTAAGGAAAAATCTGACCGTAACAATAAAACAGCTCTTATTAATTATAAACCGCGAGGCCAATGACATATATCTTTAAAAGATTAAAAGTGAACCAAACAGTAAAAAAAGAGAAACTTTTCCTGCAGTGCATTTTCCAAACAACGCACAGAGAGAGATAGAGAGAGCGAGAGAGAGAGTAATGAGGGACTGAGAAAGACTGCCAGAAACGAAAGAAAAGACTGAGCAGAGAAAGAAAGAGAGAAGTCTGACGATGTTACCTGGACCCTAGGGACAAAAGCCGTGGTTCTTCTACTAAGGCATGGACTCTGGATAAGCAAAATTAACAAAGGAAACAAAAGCAATACAACTAAACCAAAAATGCACAGAGGCACACAAACCAAACCAACCCACATGAGAAGAGATTTAGCCTAACTGAGTGACAAGAGGCAGCATTTATTCATTCAGCAAATGCTTCACGCACAAACATTAGGAAAATTAGATGAATAACATATGCGCTGACATAGGCAAAATAATTTAGAGTACAGTAAGTATTATTATAAGCTTCACAGAAAGCAAGACACATGTTGGTAAGCACAATACAGCTTGTCTAGAATTTGTTTAAACATTTAATTTTTCAGAATTCGTATGGTAAGATTTTTTTACATTTTGTGATGATGATTTGAGACCTTAAGACGTTTTGTTTTGCTTATGTATTTTTTAATTTTGCCATTTCATCTAAACAACAGCATTTATCAAGCTGAGTTTTTTTGAAAATCTGTTCATGTCGAAATACAGTCTAAAGTGAAAGTAAATGGGCAAAAGTGTAAAACTGGGAAAGGCAACCATTACATTGAATCCAAATTAATTTTAAAAAAGAAAAAAAGAGAACAATCACAGCTCTCAGCTAAATATGTTTGATAAAACAGTGAAAATAATTACAATATAAAACTCTTTGATAAAACATCACCTTGGAATTTTAAGGTTCTATCAGCGTTCTAAACAATTTGGAGATATTGAGTTTCAAATTTTTCGCATTCCATATAGCAAACAATATATGTGTAACAGTTCTCTTTCATACATTAACATGACAGAGGCTCTAAATGTAAATGTATCTAAATTCTCTTAAATGTGCAAATTGGAGTAAAAAATAAACAGGGCAAATGCAGATAGTACCTTCTAGTTCTAAGAAGTCATTTTTTGATGAAATTATATGATTCTGTCTGGCAGATTATTAACTGAAGCATTACTTTTCAAGAAATACAATCAGTCAGCTTGTCAATTAAACCCCCACGTATAAAAAGTTCTAGCAATATGTTTAGTTCGAAAAAGTAATTTTTTTTTTGTTTTTACTATAATATTTATTTAATTTTTTAGAATGAATATGTTTGTTTTTGTTTAAATTAAGCATAAAAGGCTGTGCTAAATATTTTGTCCAGTGCAGATGTTAATTTTATGTAATTAATATGTTATTAAATTATATGCTTTATATGATTTATTGAATTATAGTTATTAAATTAAGTGAATTAAATTAAATATTAACCCTTTAAGGCTTAATCTCAAATTTAAAGACGTTGAAGGAAAACAGACAATGAGCTATTGAGTTTAATGAACAAAAAAGTTTCACTGACTAATATATATATATATATATATATATATATATATATATATATATATATATATATATATATATATATATATA